CTATCCTCTCCTCTATCCCTCTTCTATCCGCCTCCCACTCTCTCTCCCTATTTATTTCAAAACCCCCTTCCCCTCCCCCTTTTCTGATGAAGGGTCTAGGCCCGAAACGTCAGCCTCTCTGCTCCTATGATGCTGCTTGGCCTGCTGTGTTCATCCAGCCCTGCACCTTGTTGTCTACATCACACTCTACATCACACAGGCAGGCTCTCTCTGCACCTCTCAGCTGGAAGTAACACTCCCTCTATACTATCCCCCATATCAAACACTCCCAGGGTAGGGACAGCACAGGGTTGGATACAGAGTAAAGCTCCCTCTACACTGCTCCCCATCAAACACTCCCAGGATAGGCACAGCACAGGGTTAGATACAGAGTAAAGCTCCCTCTACACTGTCTCCCCCCACATTAAACACTTTGTAAGCACTCCCAGTGTATGGGACTGGGGTGGTGAACTGAGATGGATTGGCAGACAGGAAACACAGTAGGTAAAAATGGGTCTTTTTTCATTTGGCAGGCAGTGAACTGGGACCAGCGCTTGGACCTCAGCTATTCTCAATATACATAAACCATTTGGGTGAGGGAACTAGATGTAGGGTACAGAAAAGATTTACAAGGATGGTGCCGGGGTTGGAGGGTTTGAGCTACAGGGAGAGGCTGAATAGGCTGGGGCTATTTTCCCTGGAGCGTCGGAGGCTGAAGAGTGACCTTACAGAGGTTTATAAAATCATGAGGGGAATGGATAGGGTGAATAGTCAAGGGCTTTTTCCCTGGAGGAGCGGGGTCCAAAACTAGAGGGGCATAGGTTTAAGGTGAGACGGGAAAGATTTAACAGGGACCAAAGGGGCAACTTTTTCACACAGAGCGTGATGCGTGTATGGAATGAGCTGCCAGAGGAAGCGGTGGAGGCTGGTACAATTACAATATTTAAAAGGCATCTGGATGGGTATATGAATAGGAAGGGTTTAGAGGGATATGGGCCAAATGCTGGCAAATGGGACTAGATTAATGTAGGATATCTGGTGGGCATGGACGAGTTGGGCCGAAGGGTTTGTGTGCTGGACAGCTCTAGAACTCTATGTAATGTCTCCAAGTTTGCAGACCAAGTTTGCAAAGCTGGGTGGGAGGGTAGGCTGTGAGGAGGGTGCAGAGAGGTCTCTGTGATTTGGACAGGCCGAGTGAGTGACGGAATGCATGGCAGATGCAGTATACCTTGGATAAATGTGAGGTTATCCACTTTGGTCACAAGAACAGGGAGGCAGAGTATTCTGTGAAACGGTGACAGATTGGGAAAGGGGGAGGCACAACGAGACCTGGGTATCCCTTGTACACTGGTCACCGAAAGGAAAGCACTGCAGGTGAAGAAGGTAAACAGGATGGTGGTCTCCATAGCAAGAGGATTCGAGTACAGGAGCAGGGATGGCTTACTGCAATTAGACAGCACCTTAGGTGAGGCCACTCTGGAACACGGTCTGCTGTTATTGGAGGGAGGATGTTCAGGTGATGGAGGAAGACAGATGAAGGTTTCCCACAATGATTCCCGGGATAACAGGCCTGACTGATGAGATTGAATCGGTGGAGTTCTGAAGAATGAGGGGGTTGGGTTGGGGTGTTAATCTCACTGAAACCTATAAAACTCCATCGGGGCTAGACAGGGTCAAATCAAGAAGGATGTTCCCGGAGACCACCATCAATAACCGCCTGGAAGTTTCTCTCGTCTTTCTCCTAATTGGTGAATCTCTCAGTGCAGAGAAGCCATTCTGCACAATCTGCTTGGACTAGCTCCATTGAAAGGCCTTCCCAGTTGGTCCCTTCCCATTTCCCCCAGGCATCTGTAAATTTCCCCACCTCCAATATTCCTAAAATCCCCCTTTTTGAAAGTTCCTGTTCAATATGCTCCCCCACCTCCATCTCAGGGAGCGTGTCCCAGATCACAATAAACCCCCTCCATCCACTGCAAGAGTAAAGCTCCCTCTGTAGCCCCTCCAGGGACACTGATGTTCCTTCCTCAGGGCCAGAGCCCACAGTCAGACACAATGTCCCTCCTTCGCTGTGTCGTCAGAACAGGAACAAAGACCACTCAGCCCATCAGGCCTGCTATACAGATACAGGAGGAGGCCATTCAGCCCATTGTGCTTGTTCATCCATTTGATAAGACTGCGGCTGTGTTGTCACCCAAATGCATAGGCTTGGCCTGGCCCAAAATTCCTCAATCTCCTGTCACTAACTCCCTGACGGACTGGATTATAAACATTTCCCTCTCCTTGTCCCAGTCATTTCCCTCTTGCTGTTTGGGAATTGTCCAGAGAGGGTGAAGCGGATACAGATATTCCGGTACCTTCCTGAGCTGGGCCACCAGCTCCGGCTCTCCCGGACCCTCCTCCTGGACCCGCTGTTTCGCTGCCGCTTTCGGATCCAGCTCCGGGAATGTTGGGCTTTGTGGGGAAGCCGGGCTCATGACTGGGAAAAGGAACGGACAAAGGGTTAGCCCGAGGGAACTGCACACGGATCCAGGGAAGGGTATTATCCCGGGAAACCATACCACATCAAACTCTAACACCAACACCCATCACCAGGGTAACAGGTAGGGGTGTAGGGGCCGAGAGAGACACACAGGGAGAGAGAGACACACAGGGAGAGAGAGAGACACACAGGGAGAGAGAGAGACACACAGGGAGAGAGAGACACACAGGGAGAGAGAGACACACAGGGAGAGAGAGAGAGAGACACCCAAAGGGTGGGAACTCGAGGGGAGGAGGCCCTGGGAAGGATGGAGGAGTTAAGAGGAGGGGTCTCCTAAGGGAGGTAGCCTGGGGAAGGGGGGCGGTGAAGTGGAGCAAAGGGGAAAGGGGTCCTGCGGGGGTCCAAGGTGGGTGATGGGGGTAGGGTCCTGGGGGAAGAGGGTTGTTGGGGTGAGACGGGCCGCGCTCCGAGGGGAGGGGGCAGACACTGACCTGATGAAGCTTTGATGTTGCTGCGGGTGGAGGATCGGAAGAGGAAGCTGTTGGGTCGGCTCACGGTACTGCATTCCCTTGGGATTGGGGACATCGGCACGGAGCTCTCCACGGCATCTACCGACACACAGAGAGCAGAGATCAGATTACCCTCCACAACATCACCATGGCAGCCCCATCATGGGGGTCATGGGTCAGTGGAGGGGCCTGTGAGTCATAGAGCTGGACGGCACGGAAACAGACCCTTCGGCCCGATCCATCCATGCTGACCAGATATCCAAAATTAATCGAGTCCCATTTGCCAGCATTTGGCCCAGATCCCTCTAAACCCTTCCTATTCATGTTCCCATCCAGATGCCTTTTAAATGTTGTAATTGTACCAGCCTCCACCACTTCCTCTGGCAGCTCGTTCCATACACGCACCACCCTCTGTGTGAAAAAGTTGCCCCTCAGGTCCCTTTTAAATCTTTCCCCCTCTCATCTTAAACCTATGTCCGTCTAGTTTTGGACTCCTCTACCCTGGGGAAAAGACTTTCTCTATTCACCCTATCCATGCCCCTCATGATTATATAAAACTCTGTAAGATCACCCCTCAGCCTCTGACGCTCCAGGGAAAATAGCCCCAGCCTATTCAGCTTCTCCCTGTAGCTCAAATCCTCCAACCCTGGCAATATCCTTGTAAATCTTTTCTGAACCCTTTCAAGTTTCACAACATCCTTCCTATAGCAGGGAGACCGGAATTGTACGCAGTATTCCAAAAGTACCCTCACCAATGTCCTGTACAGCTGCAACATGACCCTCCCAACTCCTATACTCAATGCACTGACCAATAAAGGCAAGTGTACCAAACACCTTCCCTATCCTGTCTACCTGTGACTCCACTTACAAGGAACTATGAACCTGCACTCCAAGGTCACTTTGTTCAGCAACACTCCCCAGGACCTTACCTTAAGTGTATAAGTCCTGCCCTGATTTGCCTTTCCAAAACGCAGCACCTCACATTTATCTAAATTAAACTCTATCCACTGCCCCTCAGCCTGTTGGGAGCGGGAGCGGGGGCGCGGCGAGGGAAGGGAAGGGGGAGAGAGAGAGGGAGAGAGAGGGGAGGGAGGGGGAGAGAGAAAAAGAGAGGGAGAGACAGGGGATGGTGGACAGGGGGAGGGGGAAGAGAGAGAGAGGGAAGGGAAGGGGAGAGAGGGAGAGAGAAGGGGCGAGGGAGGGAAGGGAGAGAGACTCTCACATGCATACTGTGTTCCTCACCAGGTTGAATAGCTGTCATCGAGGAGCTGCTGGAGTTGTTTGCAGGCTGGCTGTCACTCTTCAAACACAAAGAGAAACACAGTGAACACTCGGGGTGGAAGGTGCAGCCCTGATATTACAGAGCAGGATCCCAAGGAGCAGAGGCAGCAGGTTCTGTAGTTTGTCAGCAGGAATAGAACAGCTGACTAACATCTCAATGGTGCAAAACTGCAGAAGACTACAGCGCAGAGCAGCCTGGGGGTTGTCAGGCAGGAAACCCTGAAAGCTACAATCGAGTTCAGTGGGGAAGAGGGAAAGGAGAAGGAACAACGGCCTTTATTTCAGAGGGAATGGAGTTTAAAAGCCCCGGGACGTTTTGCTAAAAGTAGACACAGCTGGAATGCTGTGAACAGTTTGGCAGACTGGCATTGGAGGGAGTCCAGGGAAGGTTTACGCGGCTGATCCCCGGGGAGGGGAGGGACTGTCTTACGGAGGAGAGGTCTGTACTAGTTGGAGTTTAGAAGAGAGAGAGAGAGAGAGAGAGAGACGATCTTATTGAAACAGACAGGATTCTCAGGGGATGTGACAGGGGGAGATGTGGAGAGGTTGTTTCTCCTTGTGGGAGAGTCCAGGACCAGAGGGGGCATTATCTCAGAATAAGGGGTCACCCACTGAAGACAGAGATGAGCAGGAATTTCTTCTCTCCGAGGGGAGTGAATCTGTGGGATTCTCTACCACTGAGGGCTCTCGAGGCTGGGGCATTCAGTATATTCAAGGCTGAGACAGACAGATGTTTAATCAGTAACAGGGGGATTGAGAGGTACAGGGAAAAGGCAAGAAAGTGGAGATGAGAATGATCCAATCAACAGCAGAGCAGACTCGATGGGCTGAATGGCCCTGTCCTACTCCTACACTGATTGGTTTTAGGTAACACTCTCTGGTCAAGGCTCTCCACCCCTGCCCTGGTTCTCAAAAATTCTGTGGCAGTCTGCCACTGAGGACATTCTGTAGCAGATACCACCAACAACATTCTCTCATATCTGTAAATACAAACCATATAGGAGATCCCAGCCCTAATCATTACCCAGAGAAAAGGACAGGGACAGGCAGGGGCACAGATGGACACAGGGTTTAATCGCCTGTGGTTCCTGTTCCCTGCTTCTCTTTGGGACCGTGTCCCTATATAGCCACGTGTTAGTGACAAACCCCAGGACTAGGGCACAGCTGACAGACTCAAACACCAGGACAGGGTCAGGGGGGAGAGCGGCCGATTTTAAAAAAAGACACAGCTACGCGTCAGGACAAGGCAGTAAGTTCAGACAGAAGCCCATGAGGGGAGGGAGTTACTTACCCGCTGCAGAGAAGGTGTAGCCACACTGTTCCCTGATCCGACGCTAGAGGGAGGCAAGAAACCAATCATTAACATAGAGACACTCAAAAACTCGGCTGGATTGGGACTGAACTCCCATTGGCAGCATTTATTGCCCATCCCTAATTGCCCAGAGGGCAGTTCAGAGTCAACCACATTGCTGTGGGTCTGGAGTCACATGTAGGCCAGTTTCCTCCCCTAAAGGACATTAATGAACCAGATGGGTTTTTCTGACAATCGGCAATGGATTCGTGGTCATCATTAGATTCTCAATTCCAGATTTTTTATTGAATTCAAATTCCGCCGTCTGCTGTGGCAGGATTCAAACCCGGGTCCACAGAACATTATCTGGATTAACAGTCCAGGGATAATACCACTAGGCCATCACCTCCCCCTGGAGCGACAACAGACAGCAGGAACCCCAGAATGAAAAGGACAGCCCGCAGAGTAAGAGCTGAATAACCCCCACGAAGGGGCTGAGGGGCTTACACAGGGGTAAAGGGGTAACAGACAGAACCCTTATCCCCCTGCACTCCCGCCCCCCCTCCCCCACCCCATGACCCCTGCATACGGACTATCTGGGCAGGTTTGGGGCTCTCTGGTTTCCAGCTGTTTGAGGCTGGGGGATACGAGGAATAGTCTGTACAAGGCTGGGGGGGTGGTGGGCAGCAATGTTGGAGCAGTAAGAGTCTCTCTCCCTCCTGTGGACACACTCACATACTCACCCAGATGGTCCCTTCACGTTCAGGTCACTCACTGAGTTCTGGGACTGGACACTCAATGGCCTTGTTCTCGTTGTGGAACTGACACTGATTCCCCTGTGCAGAGAGAGCAACATTACTCCTCACTGGTCCCCACCGCACCCCCCATCCCCCCCACTTTCCCAATCCACATACCAATCACACCCTGCTATTCCCCACCCAACATCCCACAGACCCCTCTTCATTCCCTATTCAACATCCTAATCAGGAACCAGAGGGACTCTGAATCAATGGAGAGAGTGCCTGAGGGGGAGGAGGGTTTGGATGGAGGGAGTTTGTGATCTGGGTCATGCTCCCTGAAAGGGAAATGGGGGAGCAGATTGAATAGGGGAACTGGATAAACAGAGACAGAGATATACAGCATGGTAACAGACTCTTTGGCCCACCTTGTCCAAATCTAGTCCCATTTGCCAGCATTTGGCCCATATCCCTCTAAACCCTTCCTATTCACATACCCATCCAGATGCCTTTTAAATGTTGTAATTGTACCAGCCTCCACCACTTCCTCTGGCAACTCATTCCATACACACACCAACCTTTGTGTGAAACATTTGCCCCTCAGGACCCTTTTAAATCTTTCCCATCTCACCTTAAACCTATGCCCCTCCAGTTTTGGACTCCCCCACCCTGGGAAAAGACCTTGGCTAATCACCCTATCCACGTCCCTCATGATCTTATAAACCTCTATAAGGTCACCCCTCAGCCCCCAACGCTCCAGGGAAAATAGCCCCAGCTTATTCAACCTCTCCCTATAGCTCAAACCCTCCATCCTTGTAAATCTTTTCTGAGCCCTTTTAAGTTTAACAACATCCTTCCTATAGCAAGGAGACCAGAATTGCACACAGTATTCCAAAAGTGGCCCTAACCAATGTCCTGTATAGCCACAACATGACCCTCCCAACCCCTATACTCGATGCTCTGACCAATAAAGGCAAGCGTACCAAACACCTTCACCGCCCTGTCTACCTGCAACTCCACTTTCAAGGAACTATGAACCTGCACCCCAAGGTCTCTTTGTTCAGCAACACTCCCCAGGACCTTACCATTAAGTTATTTTGATGGGGGAAATTTTTGCAGGGCTTTGGGTGGGTGGGAGGGTGGAGAAGAACGAGGGTGGGCTAACTGGTTAGTCCCCTCTAATGGGCTAGTAGAGCTACAACAGCCAATGGGGAGTTCCCTCTGTGCCATATCAGTGTCCAAACTAGAAAGAAGCAGGGTACAGGGTAGGGGGAACATAGTGGCTCCCCTGTCGTGAGGCAAAGGTGACAATGAAGGCTGGTGATTTCAGCAGGGAGCCAGGAGCCTGGAGCCCGGAGCCCAGGGCAAGGGGTGTGGGTTCAGGTACTGAGGGATAAGGCACAGGACAAGATGCTGCAAACTGGGTCACACTTACCTCTCCCTCCGCTCTGCTGTCTGACTCTGCACCTGCTTCTCCCGCTCCTGCCAGATCTGTAACGTCTCGGGGCGTCTCCTTTCCTCCCCTTCCCGATGGAGTTCTTCTTTCCCAGGGGACAGCTCCCCACTCAGCCTGCAATCATCGACAGGGAATACAAACTGCTCAGGTATATCCCATAGATCCAGCAGGGGACAGACCCAAGGGGCTGAATGGCCTCCTGCTGCTCCTGCGTAACAGGCCCGAGGAGGGGGCTGAATGGCCTCCTGCTGCTCCTGCATAACAGGCCCGAGGAGGGGGCTGAATGGCCTCTTCCTGTACCTGCATAGCAGGGTCAAGGAGGGGGGCTGAATGGCCTCTTACCTGTGTAACAGGCTCGAGGAGGGGGGCTGAATGGCCCCCTGCTGTTCCTGTGTAACAGGCTCGAGGAGAGGGATAAATGGCTTCTTCCTGTACCTGCACAACAGGGTGAAGAAGGGAGGGCTGAATGGCCTTCTTCTGCTCCTGTGTAACAGACTCGAGGAGGGGGGCTGAATGGCCTCCTCCTGTTACCATAACCTTCTGTGTCAGAGACTCACCCATTGTGAAGAACTCTGTCGATCAGCTTGTTCTTTTCACAACTGCTCTTGTTCCGTTTGTTAATCTAGGTGCAGATAGATAGAGAGAGAGAGAGAGGGAACTGAGTTTAAATCCCAGCCAGGAGGGAACATTCCTACACAATCACAACAGCAGCTGCACAGAAACCACCAGCAGGAGGCAGTGACACACAGCGATCAGTGTCAGTCAATCGACCCGCATCAAAACCACAGCATCTGTCTCAAACAGAGCTTCACATCTCATCCCAGACACAGATAAAACCAGCCAGGTTTTACGAACACAGCATTAACACAGACAGCGCCGCGCTGTCGGGGGGAGGGGGGTGTCAGTGCCAAACGGCGCTAGCGAAATGGAGTTCCTGTTGCAGCACGGTGGCTCTGCGTTTACCTGCTGCGAGCTGCGAGGGCTGTTGCTGGTAAAGGGAGTGTTGACCATCTCTGACTTGCCGTCATCCTCCACACTACTGTCGATAAAATCAACCTGCTCCAGATCCTGGTCACCTGTAACGGATCACAGACCAGATCACTGCCAGATCTACGCTGTGCAGACCCTGAGAATGCAACAAACCCCGTGGTGAGGGGAGTGGGGCGTGGTCCTGTTATCTGTCACGGGACGATCCTACCATCTGGGCGAGGGAACAGCAAGGGTTGGGGCTGCAGCTCACACCATCTGCACATCTAACCTACAGACAATCTGAGAGTTCAGAGGAATTTGAGCCCAGAACAGAGACTGGGAGGGGCGGAGAGGGGAGGGGAGGGGACTGGCTGTTTTACACACTGAGGCGAGGATCCCTTGGAATCAGAACTGCACAACGGATTGATTCTTGTCAGAGTTGGGAAGGTCGTGTTGCGGTTGTACAGGACATTGGTGAGGCCTCTTCTGGAGCACTGAGTCTGGAGAAGGTTCAGAAGAGATTTACCAGGATGTTGCCAGGTATGGAAGGTTTATGTTATAAAGAAAGACTGGGACTTTTTTCACTGGAGCGTAGGAGGTTGAGGGGTGACCTGATAGAGGTTTGTAAAATCATGAGGGCCATAGATAAGGTTAAGGGTAGGTGCCTTTTCCCTAGGATGGGGGATTTCAAGACTTGGGGGTATATTTTTAAGGTGAGAGGACAGAGATTTTAAAAAGACATGAGGGGCAATTTTTTTTAACATGGAGAATGGTTCGTGTGTGGAATGAACTTCCCAAGCAAGTGGTGGATGTGGATACAATTACAACGTTTAAAAGACATTTGGATAAGTACCTCAATAGGAAAGGTTTGGAGGGACATGGGCCAGGAGCAGGCAGTTGAGATAGTTTAGTTTGGGGTTAGGGTCGGCATGGACTGGTTGGGCCGAAGGGCCTGTTTCCGTGCTGTGTGACTCTGTGTACCGAGATACAGTGAAGGGTGTTGTTTTGCATGCTCTACAGGCAGATCGTACAGGATAGCAGAACAGAGTGCAGAGTGCAGAATACAGTGTTACAGAGAAGGTGCAGAGAGAGAGAGTGAGTTCAGAACTAACATTCGAGAGGTCTCCTCACAAGTCTGATACTGACATTGGGAGTGGGCAAGTTGTTGGAGAGAATCCTGAGGGGCAGGATTTACATGTATTTGGAAAGGCAAGGACTGATTAGGGATAGTCAATATGGCTTTGTGCTTGGGAAATGGTGTCTCATTAACTTGATTAAGTTTTTTGAAGAATTAACAAAGAGGATTGATGAGGGCAGAGCAGTGGACGTGGTCTATATGGACTTCAGTAAGGTGTTCGACAAGGTTCCTCATGGTAGACTGGTTAGCAAGGAATGGAATACAGGAATACAGGGAGAACTAGCCATTTGGAGACAGAACTGGCTAGAAGGTAGAAGACAGAGGATGGTGGTGGAGGGTTGATTTTCAGACTGGAGGCCTGTGATCAGCGGTGGGCCACAAGGATCAGTGGTGGGTCCACTGCCCTTCGTCATTTATATAAATTATGTGGATGTGAACATAGGAGGTATGGTTAGTAAGTTTGCAGATGACACCAAAATTGGAGGCGTAGTGGACAGCGAAGAAGGTTACCTCAGAGTGCAATGGGACCTTGATCAGATGGGTCAATGGACTGAGAAGTGGCAGATGGAGTTTAATTTAGATAAATGTGAGGTGCTGCGTTTTGGAAAGGCAAATCAGGTCAGGACTTATACACTTAATGGTAAGGTCCTGGGGAGTGTTGCTGAACAAAGAGACCTTGGAATGCAGGTTCATAGTTCCTTGAAAGTGGAGTCGCAGGTAGACAGGGCGGTGAAGAAGGCATTTGGTACGCTTGCCTTTATTGGTCAGTGCATTGAGTACAGGAGTTGGGAAGGTCATGTTGCGGCTGTACAGGACGTTGGTTAGGGTACTTTTGGAATACTGCGTGCAATTCTGGTCTCCCTGCTATAGGAAAGATGTTGTGAAGTTTGAAAGGGTACAGAGAAGATTTACAAGGATGTTGCCAGGCTTGGAGGGTTTGAGCTACAGGGAGAAGGTGAATAGGCTGGGGCTATTTTCCCTGGAGCGTCGGAGGCTGAGGGGTGACCTTATAGAGGTTTATAAAATCATGAGGAGCATGGAAAGGGTGAACAGCTAAAGTCTTTTCCCCAGGCTAGGGTGTATCCAAAACCAGAGGGGCATAGGCTTAAGGTGAGAGGGGAAAGATTTAAAAGGGACCTAAGGGGCAACATTTTCACACAGAGGGTGGTGCGTGTATGGAACGAGCTGCCAGAGGAAATGGTGGAGGCTGGTACAATTACAACATTTAAAAGGCATCTGGGTGGGTATAGTGCCAGAAGATTGGAAAGAGGCAAACGTCATTCTCTTGTTCAAAAAAAGGGAACAGGGATAACCCCGGAAATTACAGGCCAGTTAGTCTTACGTCAGTGGTGGGCAAATTATTGGAAAGGGCTCCGAGAGACAGGATTTATGATCACTTGGAAAGGCACAGTTTGATTCGTGATAGTCAGCATGGATTTGCAAGGGGTAGATCATGCCTCACAAACCTTATTGAATTCTTGGAAGAGGTGATCAAACACGTGGATGAAGGTGGAGCAGTGGATGTGGTATACATGGATTTAAGTAAGGCGTTTGATAAGGTTCCCCATGGTAGGCTCATGCAGAAGGTAAGGAGGCATGGGATAGGGGGAAATGTGGCACATTGGATTCAGAATTGGGTGACCCTTAGAAGATTTCGGGTGGTAGTGGACGGAAAATATTCAACATGGTGCTCAGTTACGAGTGGTGTACCACAAGGATCTGTCCTGGGTCCTCTTCTATTTGTGATTTTTGTAAATGATTTGGATGTGGGAGTGGAAGGGTGGATTAGTAAGTTCGCAGATGATACGAAGGTGGGTCATGTTGTGGACAGTGCGAAGGGCTGTTCTAGGTTACAAAGGGACATTGATAGGATGCAGAGCTGGGCTGAGAAGTGGCAGATGGAGTTTAACCCTGAAAAGTGAGAGGTGATTCATTTTGGAAGGACAAACTTGAAAGCAGAATACAAGGTTAACGGAAAGACTCTTGGCAGTGTGGAGGAGCAGAGGGATCTTGGGGTTCATGTTCACAGTTCCCCGAGAGCTGCCACCCAGGTGGACAGCGTTGTTAAGAAGGCGTATGGTGTGTCAGCTTTCATTAATAGAGGGATTGAGTTCATGAGCCGTGAAGTTATGCTCCAGCTATACAAAAGCCTGGTTCGGCCACATCTGGAGTATTGTGTCCAGTTCTGGTCACCTCATTACAAGAAAGAAGTGGAATCGTTGCAAAAGGTGCAGAGGAGATTTACCAGGATGTTGCCTGGAATGGAGGGAAGGTCTTACGAGGAAAGGTTGAGAGAGGCTTTTCTCTTTAGAACGACGAAGGATGAGAGGTGACTTGATAGAGGTGTACAAAATGATCAGAGGTATAGATAGAGTAGACAGCCAGAGACTTTTTCCTAGGGTGGAGGTAGCTATTACAAGGGGCATAGTTTTAAAGTGAAAGGAGGTAGATATCGGGGAGACGTCAGAGGTAGGTTCTTTACTCAGAGAGTGGTAGGGGCGTGGAATGCATTGCTGGAGAGGGTAGCAGAGTCGGCCTCATTAGGGGCATTTAAGCGGCTATTAGATAGGCATATGGATGATAGTACAAGGTAACGGTGGAGGTTGGATAGACCTTAGGTTTAAGGTAAAAGTTCGGCACGACAACGTGGGCCGAAGTGCCTGTACTGTGCCGTACTGTTCTATGTTCTATGAATAGGAAGGGTTTAGAGGGATACGGGCCAAATGCTGGCAAATGGGACTCGATTAATTTATGATATCTGGTTGGCATGGACGAGTTGGGCCGAAGGGTCTGTTTCTGTGCTGTACAGCTCTACGACTCTATAACAGTGGGGAAGAAGCTGTTTTTTCATCTGTTGGTATGTATTTTAAACTTTTATATCGTCTGCCCAATGAAAGAGGGTGGGAGTATAACCAGGATTACATTCACTGCTTTCCCAAGGCAGCGGGATACGTGGATGGAGTCAATGGAAGGAAGGCTGGTTTGTGATCGACTGAGGTTGGATTGGCTGCACAGGGGACACTGTTCCAAACTCTGAGACAGCACCTGAACATGGCCATAAACACCGAACTCAGGAACAAACTGCATGAGATAGGGGCAGGAAATGACAATGGGCAGACATACGGCCAATACAGTTTAACATTGAAAATTGTGAATTGATGCAGTTTGGGGTGGGGGAGGGAACGAAGCAGAGTGAACATTAACTGGTCTTAGGGCTGTTGTGATCTGGGACATGATCCCTGAGAGATTAGCGGGGGGGGGCCGTTGCGGGGAACAGATTGAGCAGAAACTTTCAGAAGGGGTCAGTGGGAAAATTGGAAGAGGGAAGGATTTTTTTTTTCCTTTATTCATTTGCGGGATGAGGGTGTTGCTGGCCAGGCAGCATTTATTGCCCATCCTTAATTGCCCAGAGGGCAGTTAAGAGTCAACCACAATTGACAGTTGGGGAAAGAGCAGGAGGGTAGAGGAAGGGCAAATTAAATAGACCCTTAAATAATGGGGAATACTCCTGGGATTGGATTAACCGGGATCGCCTCACCATTACCGTTGCTGTTGCTGTCCTGGATTCCTGACGAGTGGCTCTCCCTCAGCTGCTTCTGTTCCCGGGATATTTCCACCATGCGGAGGGACAGCTCTGTGAAATCGTCTGTGGACTGGAGCCAGAGGGGGGGAGGGGTGTGAATTAAACACTGTACCCAGGAAACAGGAGGCGGGGGGCAGCACTTGTTAGAAAGACTACACCCAGCAACTCTCAGTCACACATCTCACTCATGCACAATCCTGGGGGTGTGGGGGGGGGGGGGGGGGGGGGGGGGGGGCGGTGCAGGATACACAGTCTGTTAATAACACCACCCCCACCCAAACTGCACCCCCCTCTTCCGACTGCGTGTCAGCAATCTGGGAGATTGAGTAACCTCCTCAAAGCTCTCGGCTGTCTCCCCCACACACACCTCCCCCCCCACTTCTCCAGCAGCCCCCTTACCCAAATGGGGAGGGAAACTGCCCCCCCTTTTAGAAACAGCCCCCTCCTCCTAATGCAACAGAACCTCTCCCCCGCCCCTTCCATGACCTTCATCCACCCAGATTCCCAACACCCTCCCTCCATCCCACCACCATCACCTCCCCCCCAAGCTGGAGACCCACTTAGGTGGGGGACAGGGACTGCCAGCAAGCGGCTCATTGCCCAGATGAGATGCCCCACACCGCCCCCCCAACCCCTGACCCCCACCCCCACCCAGCTCACCTCGTTCCCTGACCATCGTTTGCTGCCACTGTCTACGCTGTTAAAACCGGAGTCCAGGCCGCTGTGCTGTCGGCTGGGACAGAATTCATCGGACAGGCTGTAAAAACACGAGGGAGGGGGGCGTTAGCAAGGGGAGCTGTGTAAAACAAAATAAAAACAAACTGGCCCACACAGTATTGGCCTCGATCCCAATGCAACTGAAGCAAAGGGGCCGAAGCGGTTCTCAAAAATCGGTACAAACTCTGGTCAGTTCCCGTACCACCCAACTTGGGGGGGGTGGGGAGCACGGCAGGAACGATCCCGGAGCTGAAAGGGTTAACCTCTGAGGGGAGTGTGGTTGGTGGGGGCAAGATGAGTAGGTCATAGAAACTGAGTGTAAACTCCCTGAGCTGTGGGAGATTTGGTGGGTGGGTGGTGGGGGGGTGTGTGATCTGATCGAGGGGAGGTCAGGATCGACACTGTTTCCTCGGGGTTAGGGGGTGGTGGGGGGTGTTGTGTTTAATATTAAACTTCAGGGTGGGGGCTGTCAAGAGGTATTTCCTTACTCACAGAGCGCAGGGGGGATAAATCTAGAACTTCCGTCACTGCCGGTAATTTTTTGCCGGGGGTGGGGTGCACAATTTAAAAAGGGGGGGGGGGGGTGAAGCGAGTTTCGTTGGGCAAACGGCATTGAGAGCTGGAGGGTGAAGGTGGGTGGATAGAATTAAGGGACACATCATGGTCGAATAGTCTGAGCCACCTGCTTTGATGAAAGGAGCGAGTCGTTTATTTAGAAATAACTTTTACACAGGTAGGTGATATTTTTCTCTCAGAGACAAGAGCCTTTGCAATTCCATTCCTCAAAAGGCCATGCTTTCAGAACCTTTAAAAAAACCTTTTAAAAAAACAGAGTTAGATAGATTCTTGATAACCAAGGTTGGGGGTGGGGGGGGCGCACATTGAAAAGTTAGTGTCATAGAGCTGTACAACACAGAAACAGACCCTTCGGTCCAACTCGTCCATGCTGACCAGATATCCTACATTAATCTAGTCCCATTCACCAACATTTGGCCCATATCTCTCTAAACCCTTCCTATTCATGTACCCATCCAGATGCCTTTTAAATGTTGTAATTGTACCAGCCTCCACCACTTCCTCTGGCAGCTCATTCCATACACGCACCACCCTCTGTGTGAAAAAGTTGCTCCTTAGGTCCCTTTTAAATCTTTCCCCTCTCACCTTAAACTTATGCCCTTCTAGTTTTGGACTCCCCTACCCTGGGGAAAAGACCTTCACTATTCACCCTATCCATGCCCCCATGATGTTATTAGGTCACCCCTCAGCCTCCGATGCTCCAGGGAAAATAGCCCCAGCCTATTCAGCCTCTCCCTATAGCTCAAACCCTCCAACCCTGGCAACATCCTTGTAAATCATTTCTGAACACTTTCAAGTTTCACAACATCCTTCCTACAGCTGGGAGACCAGAACTGCACGTAGTCCAAAAGTGACCTAACCAATGTCCTGTACAACCAAAACACAACATCCCAATACCTATAGTCAACTCACTGACCAATAAAGGCAGGAACATAGAGGCGAGGGTAAAGTTAGATCAGCTCCATCTAATGAAATTACAGTATAGACTCAAGGGGTCGAGTGGCCTCTTCTTGTCCCTCAGGTTTATGCTATCACATAGTTTCCGATGTGTTTTTTTTTAAAAATCCAGTCAGGCGATCTTTCTGGAGCATGGATACAATCCAGTGTTTGTCAGAGAATAACAACCTCATGGAGCTACAATGGATGGTTGTTTTACTGCCGTGCTTTATAACAGGCGGGGTCAGCAATGAAGGCCATTTGGTCAGAATATTCAAGGATTGGCTTGAACTTAGCAAACCCAGAAACTGGATGTTTTTAGGGCAGTTTAGAGGAGATCTAACTGGGGTCAGAGTTCAGGGAAAGCACAATTGCCTTAGCAGAAAAGCTTCCTCTGGGGAAACTTCCAAACCAGAAGTGTTTGGCTAGAAATCTGCAAGTTGCTAAAAGCTGAGAACGTTTAAACTCCAAGTTTCAAAAGTATTCACATTTCATAAGAAGAATGTGGGGAGAAACGGTTAAACTGAACTTAAAGATTAGACGCCAGAGGAATTTCTCCAGTTTGGAGCTAATGTAACGGGATCGTGCCCAGGAATGAGACAAAACTTTGTTTTGCTGTGAGTTTGAAGATCTTTCAAGCAGTGGTTTGAATTGAGTTTGGTCTATATTTTGAATTTAACGTCACAAACATCTGCTCCTATATTAAAGAAAGGCTACAGCCTCAAAGACGATGATCCAGAAACTCATCACCACATTCATTAGAAATTTTTAAAAAAATATGATCCATCAAGCCAGAATTCATTCGTGATCACATTGGATTTCTCCTGTATCGCCAACAGCTGAGATCAGAAACATGGCTCCAGCCTAATGGTGAGGGGAGGTTGGTGAGGGTCAGGGGTGACAGTGGCAGTGGGGTGGGAAGCCGAAAGCAGTCGATCCCAGCGTGGTCTGTACTCACCAGGAGCTCGATCCCTGAGGTCGGATGGATCTCTCCAAATCGGTCAGATCAGGCACAATTTTACAGGCTTCAATATTCAAGTATTTAAAGATATGTATCTTCCCTTTTGTGCAGATCTAAAGACAGGAGCAAAGCGAGAGAAAGAAGTGAAATCCAGAGCGAGGTGTCCCGCCTCAGAGGGTCAGTGTAATCGCGTGAAGGTGGTCTCACTTTGTCACAGCATGGGACCCCAGGCTATCGAGATCTCAGACTCGGTTTAAAATTTGATCAAACGCGACACTCAACTTAGGTACGCAGCCCTGCTCCCTCCTAATAGATGAATAATGGCCCAGAAACTATGTGTCTCAGCAATGTAACACTTCCCCAGAACACTCTGTCATAATAAATCTGTTAGATTGTTCAATACCACTTCACCCAGCTAACAATACCTGAGATACCATATCCATTACCTCATCAGGTAAATCAGCCTGTTGGAGGGAAACACTCCCAGGACAGGGACACATGGGGTTAGATGCAGCATAGAGCTCCCTCTACACTGTCCCCCATCAAAGAGTTGCAGGATAGGGCCAGCATGGGGTTAGATACAGAGTAAAGCTCCCTCTACACTGTCCCCCCCATCAAACACTCCAAGGACAGGGACAGCACGGTGTTAGATACAGAGTAAAGCTCAGCAGTGTTTACCTGAGCAGGTGGAGACTGTAAGGGATTGTTGTCCAGGAGGATATTCTGGAGATGCCGTAAGTGTCTGTAGCAAACGGGAATCCGTGTGATTTTATTGCAAGAGAAGTCAAGGCGAACGAGTGGGAGCTCAGAAAGTTCTGGAAGGAACAAGGGGACAATCTGTGAGAGTGCCAGTCTTTGCTGCAGGATGGTAAACTCTGCTGCGATGGGGCTGATGCTATTTAACTACCAATTCAGGTCACTCAACTCGCTAAGTGCTCCAAAGCAGCTATTGAACTCCAGAGGCAGCGCAGTCCATCTGTGCCTTAGCTGGAACTGTCCACCAGGTGTCACTGGAGAGCCATTGATGACCGGAGCCTGGGCATCAGCCTCTCCGTACAGACCCTCAGAAAAGTGACCCCTCGACCCTGACCAGGGAGCGCCGCACCGTCGGAGGGTCGGCGCTGAGGGAGCGCCGCACCGTCGGAGGGTCAGTAGTTTTGCCTTCTTTACATTAACAGATTGCAGTGGTTTATACATCATTTCTCCGCCTGTAAAAGTCTCTGACACAGTGAGGTGGTGACAGACTCTACAGAAATGAAGGTCTGTGTGATTTGGGTTGAGTATGCAGCATGGGGAGCTGGGGGCTGGGGGATGAGGGATAGGGGCTGTGGGCTGGAGGAAAGAGGGGTGGAGGATGGGTTAGAATTGAGGCTGTGAGCTGGGGGCCGGGGACTGACTCGCTCGCTCATCGCTGATTCTCCCAAATGTCGGCCTCACCTTCTGGGAGGGTGATCAACTGATTCCGCCGTATGTTGAGATCCCGCAGCGACTCCAGGTTCCCGATCTGGGAAGGCAGCGTGTGGATATCGTTACAGCTAACATCCTGGGAAATCAAACACAATTCCGCAGTCAGTGACACGGCGGGAAGGACCAGCAGAGATTTCACCCTGCGATGGTACCAGACCCTCACTGTAAGGGAATCCTCCCTCCCCTTATGGTGCTTCTTCAAAAAAACACAGCCTCAAACCTGCCCCCTAGGGCTCCCCCTCACTCATTCTCCCACGGCGGGTGCGGGGGCGGGGGGGCAACGGTCAGGGCCCTTTGTCGGCAGACCCCGTCATCTGTCCAAGGGGGTAAGGGACAGAAATGGGGCCATGTGGTCAGGTCTGAAACTGTGTTTCACAATCGCATTCAGCATGCCTGCCCAGCCCCTGAGACACAGACCCACAGACTGGGGCAGGGAGGGGAGATTGGCACACAGACAGGGGTGGGTGAAACAGGTGTATGTAAGCCATGGTAAGTGCACCTACCAGTTCTCGGAGCTGGCTGAGGGAGCCAATGTCCTCAGGCAGTGAGGTCAGCTTGTTGTTACTGGCAATGAGCACCTTCAGGGGCAGGCAGCAGAGGTACGCAGGTAACAGGCACAGGTGGCTGCGGCTAACAGAGACACAACACACTGTCACAGGCCACCAAATCCAAACCCCGCTCCCCCTCGCTCCCCCACCGCCTCTCCCTAATCCCGGGATCACTGGGCAGGGAGCAGGAACACCCTGGCTATTTCCCCGCTCCCCCCGCCACCGCCCCCCACACTATCTCTAATCCCGGGATCACTG